TACGATTGTTTTCTGTTTTGCGACGTAAACTGTAGTATATAAGACTACAGTGGAGTCGCGATTCAGTGAACTTATTCTGGCAAAGCTATTTTGCTATATCGGGGGTGTTCACTTTTGCGAGGTGTAATATTAAAGGCACACATTCAAAGAAATAGTATATATTCTGCAAAAAATAACATGTCTTTCAACAAAAAACTGTGGATTCCTCCTTTCACCACGTCGCCTTCTAACCCTAGCACGACCATCATGCATGCCTAAACAAAATCGAGACTCGTCACTAAAGACAATACTGTTCCATTCCTGATCCCAGAGTGACCGTTGTCTGCACCACTCAAGGCGATTACGTCGGTGTTCTCGAGTTAAAGGGAGGACCCAGTGTGGCCGGTATGAAAACAAGCCAAAACTTCTCATTCGTCGGTAAACACTTAGCATGCCAATAGGTGTTCCGTGTTCTGTAAACCATTCATTTGCAATGGACCTGGTAGTGGAGAAACGGTCCCTTAAGGCCAATAATCTTAGGCGGCGATCTTCACGGTCTGTTGTTCTACGGCGGCTTCCAGTGCCCCTTGCTCTTTGCGTACGGCTTTCTCGAAGCCATGCCTGACAAAACCTAACCACAGTGTCTACACTTCTTTGCACTCTAACTGCAATTGCCCGAAAAGAAAGTCCAGCTTCCCGAAGTCCCACTATACGGCCCCTATCAAACTCTGTAAGTTGACGAAATCGTACAGGTCTCCGTACTCCAGGCATCGTAACCGATCGTAAAGGATGACAAGAACCAAAATCCGCCAACGTTGATTCTTTACTGCGGCTGAAATATTCATTTTTAGAGCGTTAGTGAATTAGAAAAAAGCAGTATAAAAACCGGAATGTCCAACTGATAAGGCTGAAAATTTTTTCACTTGTTATTTACAGTAAGATAAATACATTCACCAACTTTTATTAAAATAAAACCATTTAAACTGGGTGTTCGGATTTATATGTCACTTAGTATATGTCGCAGTTCACTATATCGGGTTTTCCGCTGTTCACTGTATCGCGAAGCAATGAAAGGATTTGTGTGTTCACCCTACGAGGTAGTTCACTTGAAGCGGAGTTCACTAAATCGCGACTCCACTGCGTTAAATGGTAGCGATGTTATGAGTAACAATTAAAATAGCTTTCCGGTCACCCCAAACTTTGTTCACAGAGTAGTTAGTTATACCTATAAAGCAGAGGACAGCTATACAAGGCAAATATAATTGGAGAGAGATAAGAGATTGCTCAAAAATCATGGTGTCCAGTAAATAGCCACTGACATCTGAACACGTCTGTTCTCAGCTAGTCTGAAATAAGTGCGGTCTTGCCAGATATATAATCCCTTGTAGTGGACGCATTTTTTAGTTCAAATGTACTTTTGTTTGGCAGTTTATTCATGGGATATATTTATCATCCATTTGCAACCTAAAAGATATATTTGTCATCCAATAAAGTTATAAGCCACACTGTCCACGGGAGAGGCTATTCTCAAAACCTGTAAGTTATTACGTAGCGATTTAACCTTTATGTCCCTACGCGGATTACTCCACGACTCTTTTTAGTAATAAAATAAGTAGTTCAGCTCGAAATTCAAAAGTTTTCTAACCTCAAACTGCTTATTTAACCAATCGTAGGTCTATTTGGTGCCAGTCTAACCGCCTCATTTTGAATGAAGATAAGACTGTTGAAATTAATTTCTTCAACAAGAAACCACGCATGGATATTGATAGCTTTTCAGATCAAACTGTCTTCTTAGAAACTCATGTTGATAGTAAGTTAAGCTGGCAACCACAAGTAAATCACATTTGCAACAAAATTATCAGTGCTTATTTTGAAATATTGAAATTAAAGCCTAACATCCATCTAAACTCACTCTTAGATATGTATTACGCGCTAGTTTATTCTCACCTGACTAACAATATAATCATATGGGGAGAGGCAACAGTGATTAACAGATTAATCATCCTGCAGAAAAGAGTACTTCGATTAATTTTTAATATTAATAAGAGGGACTCTTGTAAAGAAATATTTAGACGCTATAATCTGCTTACATTAACTTCCATCTATATCTACAAATGTGCTATCTTCGCATTTGAACATAGCAATAGATTTGTTCGTAACAACGCCATTAATAGTCAATACAACACTAGAACAGGGCATGATCTGAGTATACCAACACATAACTCTGCCCTATACCAAAAATCTCACACTCTAGCGTGCACTAAGGTATACAATAATCTGCCGAGTGAGTTGCGGAGAAGCACTAATATCCTTGCGCTGAAAAACCATCTCAGGAAATATCTGTTTGAAAAATGCTTTTACTCTCTACATGAGTTTTACTAACACATGAAAGTATCTGTTTTTTAAATTCTTTTAAGCTGTTAATCATTTCGTTATCAGTGAATTGTCTATTATCGTGGAGTAAATGTATTTTAATTTCACTTTTTATTCGAGTTTTAACGAAAGTATGTATGCTTTCTTTTTAAGCTTTTAACCATTTGTCATCACTGCTCGATGTTTATTGTGTTTATATATTATGTATTTCTAACAGATTCTCCTACCGCTTTTCTTTGTATCAGCTTCAATGATTTTTACCGCTAGACGAACATTTTTTGTGATAAAAAAAGTCGCTGTATATGTATATATTTTTACCGTTACAGATTGAATACATTACGATTCTGGCGCTGTACCTATAATGTGATTTAACCTGTTAAAATGTTTTGTAATTGTAATGTCCTTATTTATTTTATAATTATAAGTATTTTTCTGGCATATTTGCTCAAACGCATATATGACCCTCAAATTGATATTGACAAGTCTTATATCATGTAACATGATCTAATAAACTATCTATCTATCTATTTGGTATGGACGCGAGATATCTAAACAGCCTAGCATTAAGACGATATTTAAGTGTATTTATTTCGTACAATTGTTTGACGAAACCGCCAAAAACCGCCAAAAAAGGGGAACTATATCCTGCTTAGTGTAAAGATTTACGATTGACTTCCCTACTGTACTGCAGATGACTTCCAATATCAATGGGGCCGACCGGATTATAAAGGCATTCCAAGTCCCTTGTCTTAATATAGCTACTCTCTGTTTTTTTTTTGTATGCTTTACAACTTTTTGAACATTTTTAAGGGTAATCGAACATCTTTGTGGAGAGGTTACAATTTTCAAAAATATCGAAAATTTACTTCAATGGTTTCTGATTGTTTTAATTCCAAAAATTGTTATGGAGCTGAAACATTTTGTTTCTTTAGCAAGACTCATCATCACTCATAGAGAATTCGAAAATAGGCATAAGTAAATCTGTGAAGCACCGAATCAATCTACTTGCCACTGATTTTTCTATTTTTTAATAATGAGCCATCCATAGCGAAATTTTCAGCCTCTGAAGACCACACTTGGTAGTCAAAGTTGTCTCAAAGCAGTCCTAAGATATTCAAACTACTTTTAATTTCGAAAAGCTTCTTTCAGCTGTTGCAGCTGTAATCTAGAGAGTTGAAGATAGGAAGCATGCCACTATCTCCTAACCGTACAATCTAAGGTTAAGCGCCTCAGAATCTTACGGCCTAAAAACTCTCGTTTTTCGTACGTGAGGGCCCTGTAAAATGTGTCATTGATAATGCTGATGCGGTCGTAGCTACATCCCTGTTTTGTAGGTAGCAACCAGCGTATTCAAGTTATTTTTTATTCTTTTATTTTTAGGCACATCATTTTGATTGTGCAGTTATCTTTTTGCAGTGTGCGTAAATGTGACCATCTTAATGGATGATAAGAGAGGACAAAATTACAGTAAGAATCTTTCTTTCTTGAATGTTTCATGGCATAATTCCAAATACCGAAGCCCGTAAGTGATTCTCACTTTGTGTATGCCAGCTGACGCTTCCCCAATGAGCACCCATATGATATCACTGATTATAGTCCAGGGTTTCCCAACCTTTCTTTTGTTGAGGCTCTCCGGACTATAAATTATATTTTCATGCCCCCCTTTACTTTTTCAATAAATACAAAAAACGCACATCATATAGGTAAAAAGATTTTCATCTTAATTCTAATAAAGAAATTTTAAAAGTTTAAGTAAACTACTAAGAGAACGGAACTAGTATTCATGAAGCAAGAGAGGCAAGTATCGAATTAACAGACAATCTTTTGATCCAAAATTTCTCCAATGTTAAAAGGTGGAAGCAATCTTTCATGAACGAATCAGTGTTCATTTCTAGAAATTCTTCCTTAACTTCTTCTGGTAATTATGACACATCGACAACAAATGGATTTTTTTTCATGTGCCATATTGGTGACTGAATTATATTTTTAATTTCTTCGAACAACCGAGAAAAAGATATAACATTTTCAGAAGACACTTTTTGATTCCAAAGTTGAAGCATTGATATGAACCTCTGAATATATTCATAATTGCTTATTATAGTGTTGTTTCTGCCATGAGGGCAGTTTCAAGTTTAGCTCATTCAATGAGTCAAATATGTCAGTTAAATAAGCCAACCTCCACTGAAATGTGTCGTCTTTGAACATAGTCTAGAAATTGTGTTCTTTGAACTCAGAAAAAAGAGTTACCTGTTCTTTCAATTCATAAAGGCGAGCCAACATGTTGCCTTTGGACAGCCAGCGTACTTCTTTATGGAACAGAAGAACTTTGTGATCAGAATCGAGATCCTCGCAAAATAAAGTAAATAACCGACTGTTCAAAGCGCTGCTCTTGATATAGTTTACAATCCTTATAGCCGAGTCCATTTTTTCCTAGAGCTTTTTAGCTAAGCCCGATCATACACCTATCATTGCAGGTGCGCCATCTGTGCAAAGTCCAATGAGTTTCTTCTGATCTAAATATTTTTTTTTTTTCAACAAAACTTGATATTGAATTAAATATATCTTCAGATGTAGTACCTGCTGTCAAAGATTGGGAGTAAAAAATCTCTTCTTGAATGATATCTGTGGCGATGTAACGAACATAAACTGTGCACAATTAACGATGTCGGTGGATTCATCGCAACTAATGGCAAAAAATGGCGATAATTTAACTTTGTTAATTATTTGTGACTTTATGTCTGCTGGAATGTCATCGATTCTACGCGTGTTACTTGAAAGAGACATAGACTTCATTTTTTGCTCTGCATCTTCTCCTAAAGTTATCTGCGTGGCTTTTAGGACACATGGTTTTATTAATTCTTCACCGATAATATGAGGTTTCTTTTGCTTTGCTATCATAAAAGCTATTTCAAAGGAAGCTTTGAGATGCTGCGATACACCTGTGTGATAACTTCCCGATTTATCCAGTCTCATCCACTTTTGTGATTCGTCTTTAGAAGAAAAAAACTCTTTCGTCTTCAAAACTAGAATAGGATGTTGTTGCTTTAAATGCCTTTCAAGGCGATTGGGCCTCCTGCTATCATTACTTACAACTTTCATACATATCACACACTGAGGCAAAAAACAAATAAGTAATTAATAAATAAGCAGAATACCTACATGTAATTACTAATTATATGCCTATTATTTTTTCTTAATAACGTAATGTATTCAACAGTATACTGGCCATCGGAGATTTATATTTTTGTAGGCAGGTTGACGTTATAATAGTAATTTTAAATACATTTGAAATCAATATTAGGTACTTAAAGTTCGTCGTTTCGAAATTATTCCGCAACGTTGGTTTGATTGTGATGTGGTAAAAAAGTCCCAATGGCCGATCAATGAACGCGTCTCCATTCAATCAACAATTTAGTAAATTAAATTAAAATGGTAACTGAAGTTCGTAAGTACACAAACTTACCTTTCAACAGTTAGACACAATAATTTGGCACACTCAAACAGATTTCTCAACAAAACATGTACATCGAAACGTTAAATTTTTCGCAAGTTTGTGAGAATGAATGTCACAAATGCTCATCCGCGTCTGGTAGGTACACAATTGCTTTCTAAGTGATGAATTTTAAGCGGAACGCGGCTGGGGTTCGCGCGTATTTCATGTTGTGACTTGTCGAAACTTGTATAAACTGCGATTGACGAAGCTGGGTTTTGAAACAGCGGTTGACAAAATAAGTGAATATGATATTTAATTTCTAATTGTATTCGTGTAAATTAAGCATTACATTGTAATGTTATTTGTTTATTTTTTTTAGTTTTTTTTTCTAAAATACAAACGCTTTCTGCCCCCCTTGAAATCTCTCTATGCCTCCCTTGGAAGGCGCGCCCCCTGGTTGGGAACTCCTGGATTATACCATAGCATAGTATACCTTTAATAGGTTGATAGGTAATGATTTGAGCATCTTGAGTGCATAGTTTTCTCATAACTTCGGTAGTAATTTAGCAATCACGTGGTTATTCGATAAAACATGTATGTGCTCCACACTCAAATTGCATCTATTCATCTACACGCGGATAGTGGATATAAACCGTTTCTTCAAAATGTATGGTTACTTACTTTGCTTTTGAAACACCTTCTCCTATAAGACGATAATGTTTAGATTAAGATTAACGTTCTCCATGCTTGTAAGGCCGGTTACACCAAATTTATTGGCAGATCTTATTTACTGTAGTAAGCGTTTCTCAAAGGTGATCTTCTTCAGTACACTGACATATTAACTTCTTCCAGATTTTTACCTTGTATTATATGCTGCTATCATGCACATATACAGAACCATCTGACATCTGACCTTAATTGTTATGTTCTGGCAGATCTTAAATATACATTAAAAAAGTGTGAGGACCCAGAGCACTGCTTTGGAGGAGTGGTGACGCACTGTAGGATTCCTCTACGATCAGTACAATTAATTCCGTATATTACCATTTTGTTTTTTTGTATTCTAGGATATCACATATCTGAGGTCGCCAGCCTGAGAGTGCCGGCGCTAAGACGTGGCAGGACAGAAAAATCTCGGCGCCGTCAGTCTGTGTAAATTCGGATGATGATGCTTAAGCCGAATTAGTGTTATATCACAGATTGGTTCGTTGTTCTAGCGAAAGCCAGGACCTCAAACATATGACATCATAGGGTCCAAACTACCAATATTGGATGTTGGACGATATATTTCAGGTCATGAACTAGTAGCTACCAAAAATGCAGCACGTTTGTTAGCAGACTGTTCAATGCGCCCTCTACAGTTGAGTCTTAAGGTTTCTGCCGCCATTCATTAACCTTCAAAATGTTTATTCCCATGACTTCAACTTTATTTGTTTGTTACCGGTTCTATTTATACCTGCTTTCTTATTGGTTATATGTAATTGATTTTTTTAAATAACTTCTTTCCACCTATCGCTTTTCTGCTCAGCCCGTGCCATTCCGCTTGTAACTTCATTAATGCATTTCCTTTCTCTTTTCTATAGTGGGCACTTGCGATTTTTGCAGCAACATTTTATAATTTTGTGATAACTCTAATTTTTCCTTCACCGGTAGTACTGTCTTCGTCGGAACTCAACGAGTTGCTCATCCATCCGCACGCACTTTATAACTACTAAAACTCATGCCTACTATATTCAACCAAATATAAATATTACTGTGTCGACTTGATAAAAACTATAGCAAATGATCTCAATAGCGGAGCATTTACTATGGAGCAAAAGCAATTCATTAGAAACGAAACAAAGGCTATTTCTTGCAACTTTTGCTCTGAAGGATTTGTTTTTGCTTTGTACCTCAAGAAAATGCTCCATTTTTATTCATGTAGACTAGGATTATATCCCACTATCAGTCCGAGAATGTTCTGTTGGCTATCCGCGTCGTACGCGACGATCTAATTAGTTCCTACAACTGTTCATTTCGCTCTCGTCCAATATGTTCTTACTCGATTTCCCAATAATTGCCTATTCCGATGTAAAGAACGGTTATTTTTATTCATCTCTAACATCATCACACATCTAACACCTACCTCAAAAACACAGATGACATCGTTTGACGAAGTTGCTGAAGGACCCTTCGCTTATTAGTGATCACGGTGCTTTCATTATCTTATCCGGTTTCACAGTTTCCGTTCATTATGTACTGTACTTGAAATAATTTCTCTATAAATTAAAGGTAAATCGAATATACTATTAATCATAAAAATACAAAAATGTCAATAACATTTCTAAACTATGAAACATCGTAACAACACAATACAGTTTGTTAGATTACATATGATGGCTTCTTTCATCTCCTTTCGTTAGATGGTCAAGTTCAAAACAGTTTGTATGACGGCAATTTTGGTAAGCGAATGCTACCAAACATATGTAAAAAAGGTCTTGTCATCCTGATGGCATTCTCATAGCGACGAATCATATTCGTCCGCGGTCCTGGGGGCATAGTCTTTAGGACAGGGGAAAAATGATCCAATGGAAAGTCATTTCTCTCCCAGCTATAGAATGACCTCTGCGAGGAGCAACACATCGTAAGATACGTCAGTAGATATTTTAGGTCCAACGGCCTCATTGGTAGCTGGGCCTCCTTTAGTGATTTTTCCTCAGAGCAGTCTGCTTCAGAACATTCCTCAACTGAAGAGCTGCTTGGCACATCATGAGAAATCTCCTGAGATTCCACATTGCACACCAGCAGAGCTTCAAGGCTATATTAAAAACTTCAAGGTGCGCAAAACATCTGGAAAAGATCGAATCACTCATAAGGCACTCAAGCTGCTTTCGCGGCTGTCCTTAACTTATCTCGTAGAAAAAATCACTGCATTGGTACGAGCCGAGTACTTCTCAGCGGCGTGGGAGATCGTTGATGTAATAGTGATTCCAAAGAAGGTGTATTAAATACTTCCCCAGGATTACCGTCCCATTAATCTACTGTCAGCTTCTTTTAAGCTCGTTAAAAAGGTGATTCTAAGTCACCTTGAACATTTTTCTTGAGACCACAATGTGCTTCCTGACGGGCAATTTGGCTTTCGGTCTGAGCATAGTACGGAGCTACAGGCGGTTAGGCTTGTTGAGCGAGTAACCAGGGGATTCGCCCATAACGAAAGTACTGCTTCAGGATGTCTCAGTTATTTGACAAGGTATGGGCACAAGGGCCTCCTCTACAAAGTGATCCATGAGGCGCTTCCCCTTCTGACTCCATAAACTTTTGAAATTCTTCCTTGGGGGGTAGGGAAAAAGGCATCAAAATTGATAACGTTCTGTAGGGAATACAGCTCATTGAAGCCGTTTTCCCTCAGGGTTCGGATCTTGGACCAATCCTTTATTCACCTTTTATTCATGACGTTTCTTGCCCCAGCAACAGTGAAATCTATTTCTATGCTGATGGTAGCCCAGCCATGTTCTGGGAATCTGGTCCACGAAAGGTTGCAAAGTGTGGTGGACGAGGAATTGTAATGGAATAGCCAATTCGGAAGTCAACAACTGATGCAGTTCTACATCAATTAGATAATATCTCAGAACAAAGCATTTGAGTGTGTGAGTCATGATGCTTCTCACTCAAAAAATTATGCTGCTACGGAAAACGGGGATTTACAAATGATATTGTAAGATCGTATCTCACTGATAGGTTTCAAACGGTTCGTGTGAATAATCCTAGCAGTGGTGAACTTATAACCAACACAGGCATACCTGAAGGATCCATACTTGGACTCTTTTTATTTATTTTATTTTTATTTATATCATACATTGGTGATATGCCAAAATATATGTGCAGTCTAATTAATATCCCTGTCACAACAACCATATTATGCTGATGACACCATTTTCAGTTTTCATGTCCCTGGGGATAAATTGAGTGGAATACAAAAGCACATTCAAAAAAGTTGTTCAATGCAAATTAATACAGAAAACACCAAGACATGTCCATTTTCTTTACAAAAGGGCATAGCTGGCATAGTGGTGGGGTTCTTAGGTATAAACTTGGACTCTTATGTATCCTGGATACATCTCATTAATGTTTTATGTCCATAACTGGTATATGTTATACGTAAAATTTTGTCATATTATATTGACTATATTGACTAATCAAAATTAAGTTACGACTTAGCTGGTTGAAGCAATGTTTCGCACCCAAACTGACGAAGAGATTTTATAATTCAGAAGGCTGCAGTGCGGATCATTGTCAAAGCCAACCTCGACGGCCCATGTAGAAGCATCTCTAGTCCCTTGAGTATCATGACAGTACAGTCGGATATGCACAACCATCACACTAGAGAAAGACATAAAATAGCAATTCCATAACACCGTACTGAAAAAACCAAAATCTTTGGAATAACACTTGCTATAGTTGTAGTCACCGTTCTCGGCCGTAACCTCATTAGCGCCTTATTAAATAAGTAAACAGATCGAGTCTCGGTACCGTCGGCGCAGACTAATCTTCAGCGCATCTGCTACTCTCTCCAGTACGTATGAAGTGGGTAACAG